GCCGAGTTCCTTTGGCAGAGATGTTCAAGTGTTGGATTAGAAATTTGCATGTATTGTCATGACTAATTTTTAGAGAATGTATGAAAGGTCTCTAGGGTCCTATTTGTATTAAATTAGTTATTAATTTCTGAAGAAATTTGGAAGTTCTCTAGAATTATATTTATATTAAATTATTGTCTAAAAACTGTGTTACAAATGTAGTATAGGTTAGATAATTATTTTAACATTGGCAATCTCACTTTTTGAGTTATAGAGTCACGTAATATGGGGATTTTGTGGGAATATGAGATTAACTTTTCTTCCCACGAATTATGTGATAATAAACTCATATTTGAGGGTAAGAATCTATAAGTAAAGCTCGTTGTAATCAGTTAGAGGGAATGACGTTCAAAAATATCAGTAATATGTTTCTCCTTGTCTTCTCTACCACTCGTCTTCTGCATCTTTTTCGTCTTCTGTCTCTTTTTCCTTTATATTTTTCTCTTGGAGGGTACCTTCTTTCCTTTAAGAAAAAGGTCAATAGGAGGTAAACATCATGCAAGAACTTTATGCAAAATTCCACAACTTTTGCTTAAGATTCTAAGCTACGAAAGATTTCAGGCTTCATTTCTTCCAGATTAGGTTAAAAAATGAATTTAAATGTTAGTCTTAGACCAGGCAGTATAATATATTTCATCACTACATAACTCAGTCAAGATGTATATGCTCTGTACTTCCTCACAGGGACTCTTGAAATGAGCATTATATATGTCTTTATTTTTAGCATGATGAGCTAGTACATCTATATGTTATTATTTGGATGTATTGCATCAAAATAATATTCTGGTTCTTTCTATTTTAATCGCTTTTGAATATGGAAAAAGTAAAAATGTTAAACTAAAACATAAACTACTGATACTGTGAAAACGTTGGAATTGTTTCGGTTCAATCACCATTAAAATGTTTTAGTTTAATCGCCAGTCGAAACATTAGCAAAAACCTGAAGTTCAACCTCGGTCTCAATGACCTATGGTTGTAGAATGTGGACTTGATGTATGGTAGAGTCAAGACTTCCTAGGATTCCAACTGAATGCATAAGAGGCTAACTGTGCTTTTCGTTACATCTGTGATGATAGGACGCTTGGGGCATTAAGTTTTGATTAACAGGGAATATGCAATTGGGAAAACATGTTCAAGGGGATGTTCATATTACAGGATACAACTTTGCAGTAGTTGATGGGAAGACTAATTGTGTTTTATCTTTACGCAGTCCTAAAGAAATTTTTGGGTTTCATGTTAGTGGAGTTGGGTCAATTTTATTCCTTCGGAGGCGGTGCTTTCTGTAACATATTTCAGTATCTATATTTTAAAATGAAATGCGTGGTGGCAAGATAGATTTGAGGGTGTGTTGGCTAGTGATTCTTGAAGGAGATTCCTCATGTTTTTTGAGGTCTAATTTGACTTCTGGAATAATGATGTTCTGTATAAGAAATTAAAAAAAGATGATTGGTTTTGCTCCAGACCGAAGTACACCGAGTTGCAGTTTGAAAATAGCACATCGGATTTTGTTAATTGGTGTTTGAGCTCTGTGATGAAGGACAGATTTCTTTCCAGATGACCAAGTTTTAATTGAAGAATTGCATATGCTGGCATTGGAGGCAACAGAGAGAGTTTGAGCTTGCCAAAAACCTTACTGTCTAACGTGCTCTTGGTTTTTTGAGTTGAGAATGAGTTGCGATGATGTTATTTGAACTTTCGTGATTGCTTGCCTATTAGTTTGCTTCTTTTGGATCATTATCAACTTTCAGTGCTTCGGTGATATGCAGCTCTGGTGGTGTTATATAAGTTCTTTTATTATTATTGTTTTTGTATCTGATGATTCTTTGGTTATAGCAGGCACAAAATTATATAGCCCAGAGCAATAGTTTTTCATGATTTTTTTTTTATTACAAAATTTTTGAGACATATGTAATGTAGTTCTTCGATATGCCAATCAATGTAGGAACGCCAAGAGTGTTCGCGTCAGTTTCCGAGAACATCATTTGTTTTGAATTCTTGTTCGGTTCTTTCTTCTCATATGATTATTTTTGTTTTCGATACTGGTAAGTCTTAACATGCTGTCACATAGATAAGTAATCAAGAGAAAGAGAAGCTAAGCATGCTTGTGTTTGAAGAGGACAACGCCATCCTTTTGATCTTTAAATTAATCTTTTGTTTATGTCGTATTCTTCATGGATGATACCTTTTTCGAACCATCTTCTTTATCTTTATTTTACATCCACGCCTATTCCAAAAAATATGATCAAATATTATATTTTTATATTTTTTTTTACAGATTATACATATATATATATATATATATATATATATATATATATATATATATATATATATATATATATATATATATATATATATATATATATATATATATATATATATATATATATATATATATATATATATATATATATATATATATATATATATATATATATATATATATATATATATATATATATATATATATATATATATATATATATATATATATATATATATATATATATATATATA